AGATTTTAAACATTATTTTCAATTCAGAACAAGCTTTTGTTTATTATATAATACAAAACGGTTTTTTGCACTTTATAATTCAATTAGTCTCCTAAGAATACTTCAGAAGAAAAAAAGAAAGCAAAACTTTTCTCCAAAAGAAAGTCAGAAACTTCACTATTACTGGAGTCCAAACTTTTTCAAGGCCAGAATTATGGCTGTCGCAAAGTAGGTAAGTCACTTTGGAGTCACACAGATCTGATTTCAAACACAAATTCTGACCATTGACAGTCATTTATTCTTGATTAAGTAGAGAAATCTTTTATTTTCAAATCCTATAGCTGCAGTAAAATAAAACACAGAAAATACAAGAGGGATTGTTTGCTGAATTTATCTAATGTAGATGCTCTCGATACATTTTTCAAGAGAAACTCTTATTTTAAGTAAGATTTAGAATCTGAATTGCAGATTGTGTGCTAAGTCGCTCAGTCATGTCTGACTCTGTGTGACCCTATGGACTGTGGCCTGCCAGGCTCCTCTGTCCATGGGAATTCTCCAGGCCAGAAGACTGGAGTGGGTTGCACTCCTCCAGGGGATCTTCCTGAGCTAGGGATCAAACCTGCATCTCTATGTCTCTTGCATTGGCAGGCAGGTTCTAAATAGATTTTTTTAAATCAATATATAAATTACTTTATTTATTAAATCAATAATCTAATATTAATGTTATTTTAATAGTATTAATACAAGGCTTAGCAAGACAAGATAGTATAAGCAAGGTAATTTGCACTTCTGAAATTGTCTTGAATTTTGTAAGAGTTTTATGTGTATATATTTAAAATTTCCTCTTTACCTATTGGTATGTTTGATTGAAGCAATTACCTTTTGTTTTTTTTTTCCATTTATTTTTATTAGTTGGAGGCTAATTAGTTTACAATATTGTAGTGGTTTTTGTCATACATTGACATGAATCAGCCATGGATTTACATGCATTCCCCATCCCGATCCCCCCTCCCACCTCCCTCTCTACCCGATCCCTCTGGGTCTTCCCAGTGCACCAGGCCCGAGCACTTGTCTCATGCATCCAACCTGGGCTGGTGATCTGTTTCACCCTAGATAATATACATGTTTCAATGCTGTTCTCTTGAAACATCCCACCCTCGCCTTCTCCCACAGAGTCCAAAAGTCTGTTCTATACATCTGTGTCTCTTTTTCTGTTTTGCATATAGGGTTATCGTTACCATCTTTCTAAATTCCATATATATGTGTTAGTATACTGTAATGGTCTTTATCTTTCTGGCTTACTTCGCTCTGTATAATGGGCTCCAGTTTCATCCATCTCATTAGAACTGATTCAAATGAATTCTTTTTAATGGCTGAGTAATATTCCATGGTGTATATGTACCACAGCTTCCTCATCCATTCGTCTGCTGATGGGCATCTAGGTTGCTTCCATGTCCTGGCTATTATAAACAGTGCTGCGATGAACATTGGGGTGCACGTGTCTCTTTCAGATCTGGTTTCCTCGGTGTGTATGCCCAGAAGTGGGATTGCTGGGTCATATGGCAGTTCTATTTCCAGCTTTTTAAGAAATCTCCACACTGTTTTCCATAGTGGCTGTACTAATTTGCATTCCCACCAACAGTGTAAGAGGGTTCCCTTTTCTCCACACCCTCTCCAGCATTTATTGCTTGTAGACTTTTGGATAGCAGCCATCCTGACTGGCGTGTAATGGTACCTCATTGTGGTTTTGATTTGCATTTCTCTGATAATGAGTGATGTTGAGCATCTTTTCATGTGTTTGTTAGCCATCTGTATGTCTTCTTTGGAGAAATGTCTGTTTAGTTCTTTGGCCCATTTTTTGATTGGGTCATTTATTTTTCTGGAATTGAGCTGCAGGAGTTGCTTGTATATTTAGATTAATCCTTCAATTTTGAAGAGAAAAGTTATATTTTAAGTAAGATTTAGAATGTGAATTGTAGATTATCACTGATCTATTTGTAATGTCCATTTGGCAAGGGCCCTCGCTTGCTGCGGCCACCTTGGTTTCCAGGATAAACGTGAAATTGTTCTGAATCCCCTCCAAGAATTCTAGGAATCTCTGGAAGAAGTGGGGGAGGCGGCCGGAAGTGGAGGCCTATGCCTCTCAGAGCTTCTCTTGATTGTCAGTCAGTCATTTCCTAATTTCTCTCCTCCCACTGTCTTTTCCTTTCTGGATGTTCTGTCTCTTTTCTGAATCTCACTGCCTCCTGGACACACCCAGGTCTTTATTTCCCCAAGTGTTGACTTATGGTGTGTGTTATCTGACTTTATTAAAATATTAAAAATATGGGACAAGGAAAGGGAAAATTGCACAGTAGTCAAAGGCAGCTTAAAAGTGAGGGTATGACATAAAGTTGAACTTTCTGCTCTTGAAAGTTTCACCCGGCGTTTCTCCCAGGGTGAGTTTTCCCCATGTGCTGTGCTTAACGCTCATTCGGTCGTGTGTCCGACTCTTTGCAACCTCAGGGACGGTAGCCCACCAGGCAACTCTGTTCACGGGATTTCCCAGGCAAGAATACTGGAGTGGGTTGCCACTTCCTACTCCAGGGGAATCTTCCTGACCCAGGGATCGAACCTGTGCCTCTACAGAGTGTTCCTTAGCCTTCTACTAGGTTGCTGGTCCCCTGCCAGGTCGCTGGGTCCCCTCTTGTCGCGAAGCCCCTCCAGCCCTGTCTCACTTTATCGAGACCCCAGCAGCCCCAGTTGCCTTGGGCTGCTTTTGCACAGTCATCAATACTCACTTTTGTCTCGTGTTTCCACCACGGGGCTACCGTATAGCCTTATTTATTAGATGACTACATCATCAGTCTTCTAATATAGGCCACTAGGCAGTGCTTTTCTTTTCCCTTTCTTTGTTTCTTTTTGAACTCAAGGAGGCTGGCAGGCTACAGTCCATAGGTTCACAAAGAGTCAGACAGGACTGAAGCATGCTTCAACTGAGCGCGCACATGTGCACATTCTGAAAGAATCTCAGTTCCCCTCATACAGTTTTAAGTTGATGTTCTCAAGCTTGTTATCCTGCATTTCAGTACCCTCCCTGCTTTTAAGTATCTTCGAATATCGTACATCTCACAGAGTGGTTTCCTTGTCCGCGTGGAAACCAATTATCCGTGCTCCTCTCTTACCGCCTGGACTGAGTGTAGGGCAGGGATACCTTCATGGTTGTAACCCTGGTGGAGCCCGACTCAACTCCTGGTGCTTTCTCAGTGCTCAAAAATCTCTCAAGTTTAGTGCAGTGTATAGAGGCCCCTATGGGGATTAATAGAATCAGGGTTCAAACAAAAACCCTGGTTCCCAGACTCTGCTAAGCAAAAACATTTGCTTCTGATTCCTTGGGAATTCTGCATGTACTGACTGAGAAGGTTTCCCAGGCAGCACTCATCCATCTGCTGCAGGATGGGCTGACTGTAGAACAAGCCTTATCTAGAGTCAGAGAGATGCGTCTGGAGACCCGCATTCCACTCCCAGGCACTGGTTCCCAGTACAGTTGGGAGGCAAATGTGAAAGGTGACTTAATCAAACTGACCATGTTGTTGAATTTATTAAGCATACACTGTCAAAATGGAAAGCTTAGTTGTTTCAAGATATTTTCAAAGTGTAAACATTTTACTTGCTGCTGCTGCTAAGTCGCTTCAGTCGTGTCCAACTCTGTGCGACCCCATAGACAGCAGCCCATCAGGCTCCCCCATCCCTGGGATTCTCCAGGCAAGAACACTGGAGTGGGTTGCCATTGCCTTCTCCAATGCGTGAAAGTGAAGTCGCTCAGTCGTGTCCGACTCTTAGCGACCTCACGGATTGCAGCCCACCAGGCTCCTCCATCCACGGGATTTTCCAGGCAAGAGTGCTGGAGTGGGGTGCCATTGCCTTCTGTGGAAGGCACCTGAGTTGATCTTTTTACGGATCTACATATGGTCAGGGTCTTTGATCAAATGAGACAACTTAATTAATGGTGTTTTAAGTAAAATGTTGGAGATGGAAATGGCAACCCACTCCAGTGTTCTTGCCTGGAGAATCCCAGGGACGGGGGAGCCTGGTGGGCTGTCATCTATGGGGTCACACAGAGTCGGACACAACTGAAGCAACTTAGCAGCAGTAGCAGCAGCAGGTGACTTCAACCATAATATTAGTTCAGGTATACACCTTATAGTAGGAATGTTTGATGCAGCTATGTTTGGGAAACTCATAATTCCAGATGAAGCAAACATGTGCCATCGCCCCTTTCTTAATATTCTTTTTGCACCCTCTGAAAATGTATGATTAGATGATTAAAAAACAAAAGCAAAAATGAAAACAGTTCAGCAGGAAAGAGATAGGAGAATAAAGTCAGGCGGTGTCTGATACCTCTTACTTTGTACTTCCTTAAAAATTTTGTTTGTTTGGCTGTGTCTGGTCTTAGTTGTAGCACACGGGATCTTTAGTTGCTACTTGCAGGGTCTTTAGTTGTGGCATATGGAATCTTAGTTACGGCATGCAAGCTCTTTAGTTGTGGCATGTGGGATGTGGCATGTTCCCTGACCAGGGATCAAGGCTGGTCCCCTGCACTGGGAGTGCAGAGTCTTAGCTACTGCACCACCAGGGAAGTAAGTCACTTACTTTGTACTTTTGATCCCTGTCTTTTATCGCTCTTTCCTTAAGTGAAATGAGAATTTGGACAAGAAATAATGAAATGAATAAACTTTAACTCTTTTCTGACAGGGACTGTCTTAGACATTTGGTAGCCATAGGAATTGTAAGAACCAAAGTTGGATACCAATCCATTACACTCCAGTAATCAACACTGGTTTAGTTTTTCATGCCATCCATTTTATCTTGGTAAGAGGAAAATAATAAAAAGAGAGAATAAATGACTAAACTTGGTATGTGAAGTTAATAGTAGTATTGACACTTGATATCAGAGGCAGTTCTTAAACTATGTTGATGAGCTTACATAAAATCACTTTCTGGCCTCTTTAAGTCCATTTCTTAAAAAATTCTCTTTGCAGGTAAAGATAAGATTAAAGTGTCTGAGGATGACTTGAAGAAACTCCCTTTAATTAAATGGTGTATTTTGGAAACCATTCGTTTAAGAGCCCCTGGTGTCATCACTCGAAAAGTCCTGAAGCCAGTTAAAATTTTGGTGAGCTTTGATTTTGTTGTAAAATAAGGAACCTTCTAGAAAAAAAAGTAGACCTTTTATCCATTTGTTGTTAGATACTTTCTTAATTTCCATGAAATACTGAGTGACCCTGGAACAGGTTACTAGTAAAAGCTGTGCAGTAACATTTTGTTAATATGGGTATTTATCTGTTGGCAACTGTTTTAGCTAAAACACAACCCTTTTATAATCACTTTAGCTATGTGGTTCTGTATTAGAATTAGTACAAGCCTATTTCAATCAAACTGGTAGGTTGGATACTCTCTTCTCTGTTGAAACAACCAGTGTGTACCCCCTCAACTGGAATAGGTTGAGGAATTGAGGGCATGAGGAAGGTCCTTTAGGATAACTGGAAGACAGTGCAGGCCTCAGATCACAGTTACAGGTACACATAACAGGAATGCTGTGGGTAGCTGCAGCTGATGTTAGGAATTAACTGAGTGAGATCCTTTCTGTGGGCTAAGTAGGAGAATTTTCTCAAGTGCACCATAAAAGATATGTGCATATGGCAGATATTTAGTTCAACATACAGTGAACCAATCAGGCAGAACAAAATAATCTTTTTTAGATGATTGACTTAGGGACTGAATTATCCGGATAGGTTGTATTTAGTCAGCCCTCCATTTATATTAGCTTTGTTTATACACAGCTTGAGAGTGCCTGGATTTAAGTCAAGAAAATTTTGTGGTAGTAGAACACAAAAGAGACAAAAAATCCAAATTTTATACAAGTTGCAGCTTGCTAAATACAAAGGAAACATAGTTTATTTAACTGATCTTATGCAAATTGTAGCATTCAGTTTTAAAGGGATTTTTTAACAGCTTTTGCTTTTAAATAACCAAAGTAGTAATTATATTAGACTATGAATATAAATGAATATATATTTAAATGTTTATAAATCTAAATATATATATAATTTGTATAATAAATATATAAATATTTATTTATATAATAAAAATATACATATTGATTGGAAATAGTCAAACAAATTCATGCAGTTAAGTAGAACAAAGTGTTTATCACTCTGAATATTACTATTCAATATAATTGTTATTGAATTTTTATTAAGCCTTATTTATATCCTGGCCAATAGATAAGTAGTTGAATTGCAGAATAGTTAATTGTCTGAGAAAGACAAGTGGATGTTTGTTTTTATTGTTATTTTAAGCCTACAGTTCGTATACAAATTCTATTAGACCTATACCTGAATTTTTCTGCTATTTTAGAGTGTAGAGGAGAAAAAGACCATAAAGAGAAGCTAAAAGAAGAAATTAAAAGTTGCTTAGAATCTCACAAGTCAGAGATAACCACTGTGAATATTTTGATATTATTGTAATTTTAGAATTTTATCCTGTAGTATGTCCATTAAAAAATAAATTGAGGTCACAGCAAGCTAATTTTCTCACAACTTAACTTTTATTTTATTTTAACAATAGATCCAAAATATTTTAATCAGTATAAGACATTTATATCAGTTTGAATTACAGCATAATCTAATATTGAATATATGGACACCAAATAAATTTTTAAATCAGTTCCCTGTTACTGAATATGTATATGGCTTCCATTCTTTCACTGTTATAAACAGCATAAAGATGAGCATTCCTATCGCTAAATATTTGTGCACATTACCGATTATCTTCTTAGTATAAATGAATACAACTTGGTTCTTTTAAACATCAAATATTCTCTGACACAAAGTAGAATATCTTTGCTGAATATATTAACATGTTCCCAGGAGTTTGGGCCATAGAAACATTCATAGATGGGATCACCTATGTCTTGACCAGTTGGACAACTGGTCAAGTTTCCTTGCTATGAATTCTAGAGGTATTCTCCACTGCTCTTTCCTAATGGAGTCTGAGCAGGATATTTATTTTTGCTCTCGTAATTACGTCTTTATATATATTTATCTATATATGAATAAGTGAGAATGGACAAGCTTTTTCTGCTTTCTCTGGTTTGCTCTGTCCCTCCTTCTCTTTATTACGCCAGCTTTCCAAAACTCTTAACCTTCTATTTGTGCTCTCTAAAAGGTCTCATATTTAGTACCAAGCTAACCTGCAAGAATTCCTAGGGAAGAACTAGCCAAAAAAAAGTGTTGGAAACTGTGACTAATTGAGGAATATTAGTTAATTCTCAAGGTATTAAAACATGCAGCAAAACTACAGTAATTAAAATGGCATGATACTGATGTCAGACCTGATATTCAGATCAATATAACAGGCTAGATAAGACACAAGCCATGCAGAATATGTGATATTGGATAGATAGGTCTTTTAAGTACCTGAAGAAGAATGAGATTAATATATGGTTTGGGATGACTGGCTAACAATGGACATTTTTTTTTTTTAGCTTCTAGAATAACAGTTCTCAAACTTTTTGACCTTATGGCCTCTTTCTACTTTACAAAATTATTAAGAGCCTCAGAGAGCTTTTGTGTATATGAGCTATATTTATCAATACTTGCTGTATTAGAAAATAAAGCTGAGAAATTATTAAACGTTTATTTAGTTGTTGTTGTTCAGTCACCAAGTAATTCATTTTAAAAAGAAGAAACCTAATACATGTTAAAATAATAATGTGATTTTATGAAACATGACTATATTTTTCAAAACACATAAAAAATAGAACAGCATCATTTCAAGCGTTTGCAAAGATATCTGAATTCCCATATATGTGTCTGTTGTCAGTCTGTTGTGATATATTGTTTTCTACTGATGGAAATGAAAAAAATTCAGCTTCCCACAGACATGTATCCAAAAAAGGGAAGGAGTGTTTTATTAGCCTTTTCAGATATTTTTGTGGCTATTCTTTGATTCTCCACTAAAACTCAACAGCAATACCTTTTTAAGTTTGTTGCAGTCTGAAATTTTATCAGTGAATTTTTTTGTACTTAGTTACATTAAAATGCATTGGCCTGTCATGCTTCCCTGGTGGTTCAGTCGGTAAATCCCACCTGCAATGCAAGAGACTGCTTACAAGACAGGAGACCCAAGTTCAATACCTGGGCCGGAAAGATCCCCTGTAGAAGGAAATGGCAACCCACTCTAGTATTCTTGCTTGGAAAATTCCATGGACAGAGGAGCCTGGAGTCCATGGAGTCGTAAGAGCTGGATACCACTTAGCGACTGAACCACCTCCACCATCCCATACTTTGAATAAGTCTTTTATTCAGGAATGATTTTTGATCTAGGTGATTCTATGCAAAGGTCTCGGGACTCCCAGAAGACCTAACCCACCTTTGAAAGCCACTATTGTGGAGAGAGGGCTTCCCTGATAGCTCAGTTGGTAAAGAATCTGCCTGCAATTCAGGACAGCCCGGTTAGATTCCTGGGTCGGGAAGATTCACTGGAGAAGGGAAAGGCTACCAACTCCAGTATTCTCGGGGCTTCCTTGGTGGCTCAGCTGGTAAAGAATCTGCCTGCAATGCGGGAGACCTCGGTTCGATCCCTGGGTTGGGAAGATCCCCTGGAGAAGGGAAAGGCTACCCACTCCACTATTCTGGCCTGGAGAATTCCATGGACTATACAGTCCATGGGCTCACAAAGACTTGGACACAACTGAGCGACTTTCATTTCACTTCACATGAATATCATTGTGGAGAGAAGAGAGCTTCTTAGGTTTAGGATTAATCAGTGAAACCACAATGCAGATGAACAAACTGTACCATATCAAAATTTAACATATCCTATTAAGTATAGCCTAAATTAAATGTAAGCCAAAAAGTTAAGAATAAATATCAGTCTTAGCACAAGGCAAGTGTAAATAATTTTAGTATTTAATGAATTCACAGATCAATAAGTAAAGCACTAATACTACATAGATTACTGAGGGTAGGACATGAGGGCACACATTTTATGGCAGAAAATAACTTAAAATGAAAAATAGTAAAGACATAAATTCTTGAACAGCAATCAAAAAGAACCTATTTAAAATGTCAGGTTAGCAGATAAGAGGGCAATGAAACTGATACTCTCATATATTGCAATTAGAAACATATCTTGCTACAAAATTTGAATGAACAGTTGAGCAACATGTATGAATAGCTTTAGATATTCAGAAGACATAGGACATGTATATTCTCATGTCATCTGAACATCTTTGTTAAAAGGTTTTATATGAACAGTGCTTTGTGAAAGAAGATACTTGTGATAGCATTATTTGTTATAGAAATAATAGTAGAAAATGATTAATTAAGCATCCATTGGAGAGAAAATTATTTTATATAAATATGTAATATAAAAATAATACTTATGCTCTAATGTCAAGTGAACAAAGTAAGTGTCAAAAATTATTCAATAGGAGACAAAAACAATAATATGTATATACTGGGTTCATTTATGCATTTGTAGATGATATGTATCAGTATATACAAGCAATGGACTTCCCAGGTGCCCCTAGTGCTAAAGAACGTGCCTGCCAATGCAGGAAACACAGGTTTCATCCCTGGGTTGGAAAGATCCCCTAGAGTAGGAAATGGCAACCCACTCCAGTATTGCCTGGAAAATTCTGTGGACAGAGGAGCCTGGACGGCTACAGACCATGAGGCCACAGAGAGTCAGACATGACTGAGCGACTAAGCACACTCACATATATAAACAATAAACTCTATTTAGAAACAATGACAAAAACCTAAACTGCTGTTATTAGCTAAAAGTACTGGAGGGAAGTCTTGCCAGTTGATAATTGTCTTTTGTTGCCAGAACTCTGGCTGCTTTCTATTTGTTCTATTTTCCTGAATTTTCCGAAGTTTCTAGAGAGCAGTTTTTTATTATACAGAAGAATGCACTTTTGTAAAGTACTTTTTCTTTCTTTCTTTTTTTTTTTTTTTAAGCAGCTCACACCAGCCAAGCTCCTGGCCAAGAGCTAGAGAGAAAGAGTGTGCTATAGAGGGGGCAGGCTCCTCTGATGGATGCTTTGCCTTTCCCGGACTCCTCTTCTCTTGAAGCAGAGTCTGCATTCCTTGCACCACTTTAGGTGTTGACATCCTTCTTGATTTACAGCAGAGACTCCCCTTTGCTCATTAAGAAAGCCCATCTCCCGTCTAGCAGATGAAGTTCATCTGACCTCACAGCATCCCTATGGGGTGGGCTGGTCAAGATCACTTCGGTCTACCTGACAGATGCAATTATTGCAACACAGAGAAGTTGTGACTTCCACTTCCTCGTGATCTGTGCCCAGTTCCCTGACTGGGCACAAAACATTGTCTCTCTCTCCATCTTTTTCTTCATCTGCCACGTTGCAAGGACAGGACCGTTTGGACCGGACATGATGATGTCCGTTTGCTCAGACGGTTCCTCTGATACACCCGTGTCTCACATCCTCCTCACTGCCTCATCCGCCTGGCATTTGCTGCTGCAACAGGAGCCCCTTTCTAGTCTCCTCCCTGTTGCTGGTATGACTGCTGTTTCTGAGGCCCCTTTGAAGTCTTCCTCCACCGGCCTGCTTTGTGGGCTGCCTCAGGCAGTGTCTGCGCGTCACGATGCCAGGTCAGCAGCCACTGAAGGAGCTATGAGGGTGGGGAGGGGAAGGCGGCAGCTGCCCTGACGGACACCTGGCCCAGGGCGGCCCCTAGACATATCAGGGCCCTCGCCAGCTGACTTCAGAATCAGTTGTGTTTCTTCTAGCCTCAGTTCCAGCAGAGGCAGAGTGAACACATAGGTCTGGGATCTCACAGGTCTCTTTCCACTTTAAAGATGGTAAGAGGATGGAAGCAAAAGCCTCCATCTCTCCTCATTTTGATCTAACTCTCTAGCAATCCTGGTACCGAAACCACGAGACTCAACGACTACTCAGCTGCCATGGGAACCAACAGGGGTCTGTCTCTTGGGTTGAACAGTGACGGCCCTCTCACTTCCCCGCTCCACTCCCTGCTTCCATAAAAAGAGATGTTTTCAATTGTAAGATGCTGCTGTTCTAAATACATAGATTTCAAGTAAGTGTTTTGCAAATACCTTGAGAAGACTTCAAAACTCTGCAGAATTAAAGAGGTGTGGCTTCTGCCGCTTGGCACAGAGAGTTACTAATAAAATATCTTCACCTCAGTAGAGGTGATGGCTGCTAGCCATCTCACACCGTGAGCTGGCTCTTTGTCCTCTGGCTCCTGGAAAAGGTGATATAAAGATGATTACTTTTATAATTTTATCCTATTATTTATTTATTTTTGGCTGCCCTGGGTCTTCCTTGCTGTGTGCGGGCTTTTTCCAGTTGCAGTGCCCTGGCTTCTCATTGTGGTAGCTACTCTAGTTGTGGAACACGGATGTGGTATTTCCGTGGGCTTAGTTGCCCCACAGCACATGGGATCTTGGATCAGGGGTCAAACCTGTGTCTCCTGCATTGGCAGGCAGATTCTTTATCACTGGACCACCAGGGAAGTCGTGTAAAGATGATTTTGTGAAACAGTTTTTAGTTCTCAGGCTACAGTCCAAAGGGTTGCAAAGAGTCAGACGCGACTGAGCAACTGAGCGTGCATATGTTATATATCAAGAAAACCTACTCTAAGGTGAATGGAGAAGGATACTGCAGACTCTGCTGCTTGAGGAAACATGTTTATCATCAGTTTCACAACCACCAACACCTCAAACGTGAAACAAACCCAATAAGCACACAGCACTTGCTTTGTCCTATGTCTTCCTAATCAGTTGTCTTCGACTTCTTTCTGCCCTAACTGCTGCTGCTAGAGTCAAACAGAGAATTCTCTGCCCCTTCCCTGACACTGTCATCAGCACTCCCAATGTCAAGACACCCGCTGCTCTGTTCTTAGTGCTGATATGGCCAGTGTCCTGTCTCAGAGTTAGTCTTTTCTGCTCCGGAATCTCAGAATCCACTGTGATGTCCATCATCAAGGCCACATGCTACAAACCCCAATGCATGCATGCACACTGCATTCGTGTCTGACTCTTTGCAACCCTAGGGACTGTAACCCAACCAGGATCCCCTGTCCATGAGATTCTCCAGGCAAGAACACTGGAGTGGGTTGCCATGCCTTCCTTCAGGGCATTGACCCAGGGATCAAACCCACGTTTCCTGCATTGTCAGGCAGATTCTTTACCACTAGCTCCACCTGGGAAGCCCAATATCAAACATCAAAAGCGGCATTAGAGTGTGTCTTAGCTGCTCAGTTGTGCCCGACTCTTTGCAACCCCAAGGACTACAGCCTTCGAGGCTCCTCTGTCCATGGGATTCTCCAGGCAAGTGTACTGGAGTGGGTTGCCATTCCCTTCTCCAGGGGGTCTTCCTGACCCAGGGATCGAACCTGAGTCTCCTGTACTGCCCGTGGATTCTTTACCATCTCAGCCACCAAGGAAGATCTCACATCAGAGTAGACTTAAACGAGTAAATATAATACTAAGAATTCCACATTTATCTAATATCTCCCCCCATATAACCAAAGATATATGTATGTATAACTAATCTTCAGAATTAGACATCAGTAATTGCCTACATTGGAAAATAGAAGTGAGCCATCCAGGAAAGAGATTGTCTTTCCATCAGTTATATCATGGATATGTCTTCTCTCGAATATGGTTGTAGGATGGGTTTTAATGACCCACGATCTCACTAAAGCAAACTTCAAAACATGACTTGGAACTGATTTTTCTGTTGTAGAATTACACTGTTCCTTCTGGTGACTTATTGATGCTGTCTCCATTTTGGCTACATCGAAATCCAAAGTATTTTCCTGAACCTGACCTGTTCAAGCCTGTAAGTTGTCTCTTTCCATATACATTGTCCTTGGATTTCCTCTTTATGCTAAGAATATGAATTCATAAATCAATTAGGGCTATTAGCATTAGGAGGTCATATTTCTCTCTAGTAACTAAAGCTATGAAGCACAGATTAGATTTGTAATATAAGTGGTATAACATTTACAGATCAGAAAAATTTTTCTAATAAGCTTCACCAGCTTTTAAAAAAATTTTTATCTGAAACGAGCAGGACATGGCAAAGTAAATATGCTTGATTCCGATAGAAGCTTTATTTCATATTCTTCAGGCAATTGCTTCTGTTATTGGTTTCCATGGAGTACAAAAAATAAAAATGAAGCAAATTAAAACTGTGTTCTGCTGTTTCTTAGAATTGAGGAATTACAGCACAAAATAGAATTTTAAGAGGTCATTTAGTCCACTCTCTGCCTTTAGGTGAAACTGTCAAAAATGGCATCCAGATGTATTCATTCTACACACCAAGCTTTCTCCAACTGGGAGGGCTGTCACTGTCTCCTTGCTAAATTTATTACCAAGGGCAATTTTATGATGGAGCCTGAGGCCTTATTATAAATATTCTTCCTCTTCTGAGGTCAATTCTGTGGTTGATTTACATTATCATTTACATTTGCCACTTAACAAAATTTCTTTTTTAAACCTTTTTATTTATTAGTTCGTGTTCCAAAAGCATAATGGTGGCTGATATTAATAACAGGTTGGAAAAAATGACCAACAACCCTGCAACTTTATATGCAAGGATTAGCTGTACAAGATCATTTTTAGCCTAGAGAAATAAAGTTAAGCTTATTTATATAAGACTGATTTGGAAAAAAAAAATGCTTTCTTCCCACAGGAACGTTGGAAAAAGGCAAATTTAGAGAAGCATGCTTTCTTGGACTGCTTCATGGCATTTGGGAGCGGGAAGTACCAGTGTCCTGGAAGGTCAGTGTGACAGCTGGGTCACATTTATCCAGAAAGTCTGCAGAAAGATGAGGGCTCAGAGGCGGAAAGCTTTGGCTTAATCCCTCTTTTTTTCAATTATCGAAACTAAAGGACATCTAGGAGACCACATTCTCTTTGGTTGGCCCATCGTATTGTGTGATGTCTTTCTGGGAATGTCTGCAGTGGTTTCTGATTGGAGACCTCGTGAGAATTAAATATTACAGTTGCAGCTGCCAGATGAAAGCTGGGTTTGTGTTTAAGATGCTCAGCTTTCCTATAAGGATGATTTGAAGTGCTTTGACTTCTTTTTTAAAGATAAAGATGGTGTGCATGTGTGCTCGGTTGTGTCCAACCCTTTGCGACCCATAGGCTTAGCCCACTGGGTTCCTCTGTCCACGAATTTTTCCAGGCAAGAATACTGGAGTAGGTTGCATTTCCTTCTCCAGGGGATCTTCCTGCCCCAGGGACTGAACTGAGTCTCCTGCATCTTCTGTATTGGCAGGCAGATTCTTTACTACTGAGCCACCTGGAAAGCCAAAGATAAAGATAGAAGTATCAGTATTTCTTGATATGTCCATAACAGTGTTAGGATGCACATTTGCTGGGGTTACATAACATCTTTAACTTGGAGCATCACAGCAACTTATTAGGTGGTTTTTGTTTATTGAATTAGTTTGGTTCTATAATAACCTGCCTCTGATGTCTTTTAGAGTAAAATTAATATGGTACCCAGGCTGACTGTTCAGTGTGATGCCCTATTCTAGTGCAAGTTACTTACTGTTTATTTAAGAAGAAGCCTTTTTGAACATCTCACCTGTAGCAGGCCCTGTACTAAGCGTTAGGAATAGAGCATGGAGAAAGATGAACATGGTCCCTGACCTTGTAAAACGTACAGCCTACATTGAATAAATACTGTTTCCTCATTGGAGATGGTTCTGTTGGAGAAAGGTAGATACCTGTTTATAACGAAATCTCACTCAGTGAACATACAAATCCTTTAAAAATTCTGTATTCGAAATATTGTAGTTTTTAACTCAAGGCACTCATCTTCATTGAGCATAATTGAAAGTGAAAGTGAAGTCGCTCAGTCCTGTCCGACTCTTTGCGACCTCATGGACTGTAGCCTACCAAACTCCTCAGTCCATGGGATTTTCCAGGCAAGAGTACTGGAGTGGGCTGCCATTTCCCTCTCCAGGGGATCTTCCCTGGATCTACCCAGGGATCGAACCCGGGTCTCCCGCATTGTAGGCATACGCTTTACCGTCTGAGCTACCAGGGAAGCCCTAATTACCAATCCATATTTGAGCATAATTATCAATCCATATTTGTGATTATGGCTTACTCAACAGGATCCATTCAGCTCCTCCTTTGTTATATGTTTTATAATACCAGCTTGCTTTTTGTAATTGACATGTGCTCCAAAATGGTTATAATTAGCCTTGGCTAACCATGGAAATTCTGTCTTCCTAGAAGTTATTCTAGAAGCTGAGGGGTAGGTAAGCAGATTGGTGCCTGGTGTTTCCCTGGAGACAACTATTTGTCCTTGTCCTAAACTGGTCAATCAGATTGAAGGGAGAGATGTTTTTCTTCTGTGCATAGGAGAGAGGCCCCCGCTGTCCTTTCCCACTAGAAGTGAACAAGCAAGCAGGTAGCTCCAGTTGTTGCCAAGAGCCAAGTTCAAGAGCAATAAGCTTTAGGATGGTGTGGAGCGTGTGGACACAGAGGAGAGATACGGGAAAAGCCTGGTCCGTGAGATGTCCCGTGTCACTGAATCATCAGTATTGAGGAGCTACTCTACTTACTGTTATGATAGATATTAAATATTTTTATCTTGATAAATAATATATATTACATGTAATATATGTGTGATACACGTTCACTATTTTTTACGGCAGTTTGCATTGGAAGTTTCATTGGTTAGACCTGAAAGCATGCTCACATGCCCACCAAAGAAACTCCAAAGTTGAATATTATAATTAAGTGTCAGATACTGTAAGGGAATAGTATAACAAACAAAAACAATAATAACTACAAAACTCCATGAAGCTCATCCTTCCTCTAATATTAGTTTTACTTTAGAAAAGCAGTTCTTAAACCAATAACATATTTATTATTTTTGTCATCTACTAATATCAATGTTATGAGAGTAGGTCTCTTAAAAACATTAGCTAATGCTTTTTTCCAGTCCCTTTATATGTATATTCCTAGGTGTGCCTAAAGATTTTATTATAAGCATCTTTATTTTTTTTTCATTTATTTTTATTAGTTGGAGGCTAATTACTTTACAATATTGTAGTGGTTTTTGTCATACATTGACATGAATCAGCCATGGAGTTACATGTATTCCCCATCCCGATCCCCCCTCCCACCTCCCTCTCTACCCGATTCCTCTGGGTCTTCCCAGTGCACCAGGCCCGAGCACTTGTCTCATGCATCCCACCTGGGCTGGTGATCTGTTTCACCCTAGATAATATACATGTTTCGATACTGTTCTCTCGAAACATCCCACCCTCACCTTCTCCCACAGAGTCCAAAAGTCTGTTCTGTATAAACATCTTTAAAATTGAGCAACCAGTAGTTTAAACCAAGGACTGAAATGCTTTGCCATGCAGCATATAGTGTGGGCCAATGGTCAAGGAATCACTGATGACTGTGGTTTCTAAGAGAGGCTATTACGATCTTACAGTGATATCTTTTGAGGCTAACAGACATTTGCTTGAGTTTGATAGCAGTGGGTCCAATAGTGGGGCCATCACAGTTCATCTCAATCAATAGTATATTATTTATTCAGAAACTATACATTTTTCAATGTACTGAGCTCATACTGTATGTTCTGCAGTGGGTACTGCAGAAGCTTTGGGCAAGAGTAAGACATATTCTCAGTCTTCAGGAGATGACATCTGTAGGAGAATTATCATATCGAGTTCACAAATAACTGCAAGGAATACTGGATGAGAGATGGCCAAGTGTCACACTGTGGAGATTCAAGGGAGGGTGTATCTGATCAGAGTGATCTTAGACAGTTTTCTGGGGAGAAAAGCCTTTGAAGAGTTAGATGAACTTCCGGACAGAGGAAGCAGTAAGCAAAGGGTCATTTGGTCAAGGGTATGTGGGCTAGGGGTTATGGTTTTACTAGTACTGGCCAGTAGTGACTAGAAGACAGACTGAAAAGGTACATTGGTCCAATGATATATTACAAAGATTTGGGTAGAGCAGACTCGAGTGAGGCATGCCTTAGGTTATAAGGTCATGCTAGCATTCCATCTCAGAGACATGAAGTGGTGGAATCTTATCAGATTTGGAAAATGATTAGAAATGGTGATCAGCTGAGAGGGAGGATTTGAGGAGGATGGTGGCTTTGAATCTATGTGGCTGGAAGAGATGGTAGAAAGAGAGAAATTAGGAACAGGAGCAGTTTGGGGGACAAGATGTTAGGTTTTCCTTCAAAAACTTTTGAGTGCAAAGTGCAGCAAAATATATATCATAGAACCAAAACCTGCAGGCTGAATATGAATGTTGAATAAATATGACTTAATTTTAAAAAACCAACTCAGCTTATTTAGTTTTCTATTAAGTTTCTGTTTTTAATAGTCCGTAATTTTTCTGTTACTTATTTTAAACAACCAACCTATAAAACATTAAAAACAAAACAAAACAAAAAACAGAAAATTGTTCATGAAGGCGAATGACCTCATTTGGACAGCATGTGCCAAGAAAGATCTTTGCACTAGAAATGTAATCCCACAAAACCTTAGTATAATCCCTAGAAAATGCACCCATTCTTAGTTTGTGTGCCTCGAGCCAGTTTATTTTCTCATGTACCAAACACTCAGTGAGTCAGAGAAATTTGCCTGTGAACTAGCTGATGATCAAAGATTGTCAAGAAAACATTGCGGCCTTGCAGCTGTCACCCCTTGGTGTTTAGGCCAGAAGAGTCCCTCTCCCAAGTGAACAATGAGTAAGAACTCGATGCTGCCATCAGCCACCAACCAAAAAGCAGAATGGAAGAACTAGAGTTCCTCCTTGAAAGACAGGAGTTCAGAAAGTATATTTAGAGGGTGAACCCCTGGTGAGACACGTTTCTGCAGTGGAAGGGAATTCTTCCCAAATAAATCTCCTACTGGAGAAATCTAGTGATTGTGCAGAAAAACAAGCAGGAGAAAACACGTGAACTACTGGACTGTACCAGCCATCGTAGCATACAAAATGAAGAATGGACATTTTCCTGTTGAATTGTGAATTTCGATGGAGGAGTAGGATCGGGGATTTCCAGTGTCGAGTGGGTGTCTCTGAGAGTCGATTATCTTAGCAGAAAGGGATGTGCCTGCCATACCCACCCCCTGGCATGCACATCAAAGCCAACAGTCCTGTTTGCCCTTGGTGCCCATCCCTGCAAGAGGATCCCAGGGGGCTGTGTCATTGTGCTGATTGATATGGGTTAAATTCCAGTGTAAACAATAGCTCTGATCTTTGGCAAGATTACCCCCCCCCCACCCCCGTTACAAAGGCATGCTTGGATAAGAAAAGGGTGTAATAAGAGGAAGGCTGCAGTACTGGAGACCTGGAAATGAAGCTTGGACTTCTCGTGAAGAAAAACTGTGATTTCTACTTTTTGTGTATATTTGGGTTTTTCATGTATCCTAGGGTAGGGAGTGCTAGGTCACAAAGTCATGGACTCATCTTGAATTACTAACGAAAGTCACATCACTATTGGAAAATTAATTCAGACATGGGTCCAGCTGATAGTAGATTAGATTCCTGGGTCGGGAGGTTCCCCTGGAGAAGGGACAGGCAACCCACTTCAGTATTCTTGGGCTTCCCTGGCGGCTCAGACAGTAAAGAATCCACCTGCAATGCAGGAGACCTGGGTTCGATCCCTGGGTTGGAAAGATTCCTTGGAGGAGGGCATGGCAACTCGCTCCACTATTCTTGCCTGGAGAATCCCCATGGACAGAGGAGCCTGGGGCTACAGTTCATGGGGTTGCAAAGAGTCAGACACAGCTGAGTGACCAAGCACATTGCTGTTGTCTCTTGGGCACCTAGTATTCATATGATTATCCTTCATTCAGTAAATAGTTATCAATTGTATGCTATATGTCTGGGTAGAGTTCCAGGAATTACCTTGGAAAACAAAATAATGGATGAAGTCCCTTTTCTCAAGGGGCTTATAGTCTAACTCAAGACACCTCAAGACACTAGAGAGATTCAAAGACACATAGCATTCCTGAATTGCTTCTAATGCAGTTGGAGAGATGAGACATAGCAACATGCAAAACAAGGCTTACTTAACAGCGTAAGATGGCACTAGAGAAATGCCGGGTGATTCATCTATATTGTAACTGCCATAGGAGTTCAGAGGAAGAAGCATTGAAAAAGGCTTGGTGGATTAGATGAGAATAATCAATAAACTGCACAAAAGAAAGCATACCTGCCTGAAAGATAGGGGTGTCAAATGCTGAGGGAAAAAAAAAAAGCTAAGTGCTCGTAGGAATGTAATGTGCCTCTATGTTAGTGGTAGCAAGGCAGCTCTATATTTGGGGTTTGTGAAGCTCTGAGTACAGTTGTTTCTGTGTGTTTACTATATTAATGATAATGTAATTTGTTTGGGGGTGTGGGGGGCTTCCCTGATAGTTCAGTTGGTAAAGAATCTGGCTGCAATGTGGGAGACCCCTGTTCAATCCCTGGGTTGGGAAGATCCCCTGGAGAAGGAAATGGCAACCCACTCCAGTACTGTTGCCTGGAAAATCCCATGGATGGTAGGAGCCTGGTAGGCTACAGTTCATGGGATCGCAAAGATGATTGAGTGACTTCACTTTCACTTTCTAACCTTCTCATTCTCTGTCATCGCCTTCTCCTTCCTTTAATCTTTCCCAGTATCAGAAAGTGAAAGAAAGACCCAGCATCAGGGTCTTTTTCATTGAGTTGGCTCTTCACATCAGGTGGCCAAAATATTGGAGTTTCAGCTTCAGCATCAGTCCTTTCAGTGAATATTCAGGACTGATTTCCTTTAGGATTGACTGGTTACCAGGCAATCTCGATTCCAGCTTATGCTTCATCCAGCCTGGTGTTTTTCATGATGTAATCTGCATATAAATAAATAAGCAGGGTGGCAGTCTACAGCCTTGATGCTGATATACTCCTTTCCCCATTTGGAACCAGTCCATTGTTCCATGTCTGGTTCTAACTATTGCCTTTTGACCTCTTAGAGGATAGCCAATTGCCTTTGAGGAGCGGGGAACCCCAGTCGCTCTGGATTTCATGCGAAGTTGCAAATTCAATTCATTCTGGGGAATTTGTTACATAAACAAATGTATCCTCTCCACTCCAGTTGGTAAATGGAACTGAGTGAGCTGGATTTACTTATATGCTTGTTTCCATTTTCACTATGGCTGTGCATGTGTCCTGGAGGAGATGGGGGAAGGGCCAAGAGTGGGAAAAGCAGATGTGGTTACCTGCAAGACTGAGCAAGGCGGCCAGGTCCTTATTAACTTCCAGCCACACTTCTCTCTCCTTTCTGCTTTACTGAAGAGCAGTGACTCACTCAAAGGCGCACAGAGACCATTGGCAAAATTGCAGTCATTACTTCCCCAACCATTTCATTCTGACACTTCTGTGTGGCTAAGATTTAAGTCTGTCAAGAACAGAAGCAGCAAACTCCAGAGTGATGTTTGATACTTAAGCCAAAGTGCTTCCAAAATAAAACATGCTCATTTGTTCATTTCTGCTCCAAAAATGCCAGCAAGGACCCTCTTTTCCTTTAATTTACCAAATAGATTGCTGGCCCCTCCATGGGGCATAGAACACCTGTACAGGATTTGTATCTGTTGGAGAGAAAGAAAGGCCACTTTGGGCTGGGTATCTCCCCATCACTTTTTTTTCCCCGTGGGCTTTCTCCCCTCATTAAACTGAATTGCTGCTCTTTAATAAGTTCAGTCACTCTCTTGTTCAGAAAAAAGTTTAAATTCCTGGGAAAAGAGGACTGGAATTAAAGCTGTGCTATATCACAGTATTGCCCATGGGTTATTTTTTTAATTTAATTTTTACTTTATATTGGAGCATGCTTGATTCACAATGTTGTGTTAATTTCAGGCTTCAGCACACTGGTTCAGTTATACTTCTATCCATTCTTTATCTCCCCATCATTGACTGTCTCCTTCTTGCTTGCTAATTGCCCTAATTTTCCTAGATTTTCTAGCATCCTAGATTCATGGGAGGCTGGGGTGCTTATTCCACCCCCAGCTCTGGGTAATGAAGCAGTTCCCTAAACCGATCCTCACATCCCTTCCCTTTGCCCTGCCTCCCCTCCCAGTGATTGATTTTAGTCTTGCCTTGTGTTTTAAGTGATACAGTTAACTACCAAGTGAAAGCTTCTATTGAGACTTCTGGGTCAGAAATAATCGTTCCCTGTAGGATGTGAATAAAGAAGCACTTGGCCCCAGAAACTGTCAGCAGCTATTTTCAAACTGCAAAAGCAGGATGAAGTTGGTACCATAGAGCAGAGCAGCAGAGGTGAACTGGCTCTGTGGTTACGTCATTGAACTGTTGGACTGATCACTGCCTGAGGCCAGCACCAGCTCTAGATTATTTAGATGCATAAAGTGGTACAATCCCTTCCACACAGAAACCTGCCTGTTGTGGATATTCTGTCACTTGTAACCAAAAGCATCCTGTGAGTGAAAGTCACTCGGTCATGTCCAACTCTTTGCGACCCCATGGACCATATAGTCCACGGAATTCTCCAGGCCAGAATATTAGATTGGGTAGCCTTTCCCTTCTCCAGGGGATCTTCCCAACCCAGGGATCGAACCCAGGTCTCCCACATTGTAGGCAGATTCTCCCACATTGCAGCCACAAGGGAAGCTCCAAAAACATCCTAAGTAATCTGTAATTTTCTTAAGAGCAAAAGCGTTCTTTCAAGATCTGTTTAACTCCATGGCATATCATATTAACATGTACTAACCACATGAGTTAGTAGCTTTCTAAATAGCTTGGACTTCTTAGGGAATTGAGTTTCATTTAAGGTGGGTATATCACTAAAAAAAAAAACAAAAACAAACGTCACTTCTTAATTTTTTCCTGGAGGGTCTGGAATTTAAGCTATAGCACAAGATCATTTCTTTTTGGTGAGTAGTTCATCTTAATGAAGTCAGTAGTATTCCTTTGCCCTTTTGTTGAATAAGAATGTTTAGAAAGAGGTATCAAATGTCTAGCTCACAGCTCCTACATGTAAGACTTTTTCTTCTAGGAGGATCACTGTTAAGATAATCCTGGCTGCAGCTCTGAAAACCAGTGGCCTCAGAGACTGTATTCCCACTAGGATCTGATTCTTATCTCCCCAATGAAATAGAAAACAGTGTCTCAAATCAAGAAGCTCTGAGGTCCTCTGCTTTCTCTCCTCCTTTCCCCCATTTAAATATGTCCCATTCCCTTCTCTTCTGTTTTTCACATGTTTTCTTCTTTTCCTTCTCTTCCAGTTTACCCTAATCCGAGTCTTCTCATTTTATTCTGGATTTGTTTCCCCTTATTTTAATATCACCATCTGTCTGCTCACTCTTCCAGATTTTGCCCACGCCATCATTCCCAATCAAAAGTTTGGTACCCCAGGCATAATGTTTCCTGTGTAGCTGAGGTATGCTTGGTCATTTTAATTTTATGTGCTAAAACTAAAAGATCTGATAAACTACAGCTTTTTTTAAAATTTATTTATTTTAATTGGAGGCTAATTACAATATTGTAGTGATTTTTGCCATATATCGACATGAATCAACCACGGACGCATATGTGTTCCCCATCCAGAACCCCCCTCCTACCTCCCTCCCCATCCCATCCCCCAGGGCAAACTACAGCTTTTAACATATTTTCCCCTTTCTGCTTGATCATGTTCCTCTGATCAATGATTCTAAAGTATGATCCCCATACCTCTAGTAGCAACATTACGTGGAAACTTGTAAAAAGTGCAAATTGGGTGGCCCATCCCCAGATCTACTAAGTCAGAAACACGGGGTCCGGGCGGGGGGGGGAGTCCAGCAACGTGGGTTTGAACAAGCCTTCCATGTGACTCTGATGCATGCTGAAGTGTGAGAAACCCTGGTCTAGATTATTTTGCCTCCTGTCACCAAATGGTTTTCATTTTCCTGTAAGATTTCTTAAAGGGAATGAGGATGTGGGAAAAGTACTTCCCCTTTAACTTGACCAGCCCTGCTTCAATGAAAGATGCCTGTGAAAGTATGTCTGTATGCTGCCTTCTCTGAATTCCAGGGCAAGATCATTCTATTTTCATAAGCTGCAGCTGGTAGCAACTTGGAATATACTTCAGAGCCCCTGCTCCTGGCAACAGTGGCAGCTTTCCAGCTCATGCTGGTACTGCCCACAATGACTTCTAGTAGGACAAAAAGAGAGATTTTATTTTAAAAAGGAAGAGAGGGATTCAGTCTCAAAATCAAGACATCTAAAATGAAAATCATGACTTACTGCTAACCCTAGCATTCCTTCTGTACTCCTTGTTTCCCCTCTGTGTATCACTGATTTTCTAGACTCTCGGCTCCTAGAGTCACCCTTCACCCCTCCCTCTTTTCAATCTGCTGTGTCCATTCCCACCTCTTAACCTAGGTCATCTTGCCCCAGGAGATGTCATGGTTGTCTTATCCTCCCCCCCCATTGTCTCTTCTTTCAATCTGTCTTACTCACCACATACAGATGAATTTTCCTTAAATAATCATCTCTAAGTTGTTACTTTCTTGTTAAAACTGGGCATCACTGCCTACTGGCCAAACCCATCAGCCTAGAACTCCAGACTCTTCAGAATCTGACACAGATACATCTTTCTGAATGTCTAGGAATGCCCACCCTAGACAGTCTACCAGTTGTCCCCTGATGACTGTGCCCATCTGTCCTCTGACTCCTGCTGTCTCCTGGGTCTGGAACGCCCCACTCAACGTGTCTACTTATCAAAGCCTGTCCTTCTCTCCAGGACTAGCTCACGCATCACCTCTGTATGGAGTTGATCACCCCAGGCCACAGTGCTCGCTCCAGCCCCCAGATCTCCATAGCCCTTTTGTCTCCACCTTTATCTCACACTGTTACCTTTCCCGTCTCTCCACGTGCATTAGAGCCGCGTGCTCGTCAAGTCTGGGTTTCGTAGGGCTTTGTGTGTGTTCAGTGTTTGTGTAGCTCCCCTTGAGCATTTATTCACAAATGGGGAAGACATGCAAGTACTCAATATTTAAGGAATTTTCAACATGTTTATATTTTAATGAGCTTTATTTGTAGATGTGTAATGTTGTTCTTTGCAAGTGTAAAAAATCTGTTATAAATAATATGCCTCATTACTTTCACTGTTTTGACATTAGAAGTATTAAGAAAACATTCCTAGCATGAGCATAACTCAACTTGCTTCTGAAGAGCTTTTGTAAAAATATGGATTTATGAAGCTCTCTTTCTTTGGAGTAAAAGCCTTTAATGTCACAGGTATGTGTATGTTAGTCCCTAATATTTTAGACATCAAAACAAAATTCAGTAACAGGGTAAAGGCTTGTAAACACAAATTGCTTTTTGCCATTTCAAAAGAATTAACTTCACTTAGTGAATAACTGAGGTAGTAATTCTGCTAGAATATCCAAATATTTGGAGAAAATAAGAGTTTTAGCACATATTATTTTATTACCTGTTTTATTAACTCATCTTTTTCTTTAGAATATCAGAATGTTTAGAAATGATAGCAAATGTGATATTAATATTTATACTATTTCAATACCTAATACTAATTTAATAACTGAACTAGCTTACCCCTCAATAACAAAAGAAGAAAAAATTTAAAACCTCAGTAACGCACACAGTATCAGTTGGTCAAAAATCTAAATTATAGTTTTACCCTAAGGAAATTCAGTTTTATGATTTTTAAAAACATCACAGAGACTAAAATTAGTTCCGGAAATGCTTACAGGTTCCAGTGGAAAACTATCTTAATGAACTAATAAACATTAGTTCTATTTCTAATCAAAATATACATAGTGTTTCTAAAATAGTCCAATTTGTGCTCTTAAATAGCTTATGAACTATTTCTTGTTTACACATTTGCATGATAGAGGAAGTATTCGTGGAGGGCCTCTTATGTGTGATAACGTTTAAAGAGCCGTCATTTTCACATAGAAGTATCACTTTTTAGTACAGTTTATTCACAGGGTCTGCTGTACTTTCAGGGTCAGAGTGCCCAGCACGGGCACCTCACACATTACGTCCCTAGGCGGGCCTGTTGTTCAGTTCCTCCTGCTCCTCTGGCTGCATCTCTCATCACCTCACCTTCTGCAGGGAATTGAGGGCCTTCTTCCCTGCAACAGCTCCCCCCGCCCCGTCAATAGTCCACAGTCTTCACACAGTGCCTCTCCTCCAGGGACTGGAGAGGAGGGGTACCAGGCACTCTTTCCCCACGGGGCTGAGTTCAGAGAAGGGCTTCGGTCACAGCAAGCTAAACTTAGAAAGGGGCTAAAAACAGACTTCTAGGAAAATAGGATTTGTTTGGATAAAGGAGAACCTATAAAACTTGTAATTCACAAATGCAGAATTAACGAGCATTTTTTCTAGCGCTGCTGGGTAGCTGCTAAAGATCGAGGAGTCACTGCTTATTCTACTGAATGCAAAATGTCAGTGCAGTGATCGTTACCTAAGTCACTTCTAGAGAGGGAGCTGAGGACTGAGAAGAATTGGCTGTTTTATGCGAGCAGGAACTTTAATGTTTCTTTTCACACGTGGGTACTCATTGCCACAGGCTTCCTAGGTGGCTCAGTGGTAAAGAATCCACCTGCCAATGCAGGAGCTGCTGGAGACACGGGTTCGATCCCTAGGTCTGGAAGATCCCCCAGGGGAGAAAGTGGCAACTCCACTCCAGTATTCTTGCCTGGAAAATTCCATGGACAGAGGAGCCTCGCAGGCTAAAGTGCATGGAGTCGCAAAGGGTTTGACATGACTGAGCAACTGAGCATGCACGCAAGCGCTCATTGTCAACCTTTCTTTCCCATTAGATCTGAAGGAGCTCAGGCCTCCGTGAAATGCTTTCTTCACTGGACTTTGAAGATAATCACTCTTTTCATTATCCTACTCCTCTGGCTTCTTCTTAGATTCCTTTGCTGGTCATCCTCACCTTTCTAACCTCTAAATTTTGGACTGCCCCAGAGCTGTCTACTCAGACTTCGTATTTTTTTCTGTTTAACTTATCCCCTACATGACTTCATCCTATCTCTTGGCTTTAAATAATTGTCCAAATAGTGACGACTTTATTTATATCTCTTGCACCTCCATCCCTGACTCAATCCCCCAAACACCAGGCTCATCCCTAGTTGTCACTGAACATCTCCGCTGGATGTCTCCAAGGCACCACTGAACAAGTCCAAAAGTGAGCTCTGAATGATAACTCCTCAACCTGCTTCTCCTTCAACTTTCCCCATTGCTGTACCCTTGTATTTCCTCAGGCCAAATACTTGGAATCACCCTTGACTCCTTTATTAAGTCTTTCACATCTGTCATGCAAACCATCATCCTATCCTGCAAAGTATATCCAGATACTAACCATAACTCATGACTATTTCCATCATCCTCGCCCATTCAGGTCCAAGTTTTCCATTGCCTGGAAGATTATAATTGTTTCCAAATCAGTCTCCTTTCATCACCTTATATTTTATTATCAAAGTAGCAGCCAGAATGATTTTTTAAAAACTTAAGTCAAAATTGTTCATAACTGTCTAATGGCTTTTTGTCTCACAGAAATGAAGTATTTAGCATGCCCACAAAGTTAAGATGATAACCAGTCATTCTGCAGAAAATCTGAAGAATAAACATTTGGATATATCTCTTTCTAAAAAAAAATCATAATGCACAGTATTTATTATTGATAGTTACATGCATTAATAATCAGCAACAATTAAACACCACTACAGTTTCCAAACAGTGTTTGTGATTGATGTTTGCTATCTTCTTCATTTCAGAGTTATGCATTATGGATATATCTTAAGGGAAGCAGATATGGTGTGCCCATCATGGGCTGTTTTGAAAAGCTCATGTCCCAAGGACAAACATCATGGCCAGAAATGGACAATCTAATTTGTTAGAAGCTTGACAAAAACTTAGTTGTGAGGAATTCTGAACCTGCAAATTAGCAAAATTGCCTTTTCTTGGAATTGCTGCTTAATTTGATCCAAATCAGTAAAGATTGAATTGTTCTATTTCATAGACATTGACACTCCTTTGAAATGAATTTTCTTTAGCATTTCTAAGTTGTTGTTCAGTCTCTTAAGTCGTGTCTGACTCTTTGCAACCCCATGGACTGCGGCACACCAGGCTCATAGGTAGAATGAAATTTACATCACAAATATTTGTGAAGAACTGATGTATCCAGGTAGGTTCTAACAATACCTGGAGCGCTCCAGATTTCATTTGAAATAGAAATATAGGCAAGAAGTTTCAAGAATACCAATGGGAAATAAATCGAATTATCTGATAACAAATAACATCGTTCATATTCATTCATCCACTCATGCAATCAACAAACACTGAGGATAAATAAGACCTGCTTTCTGTTTTTGTGAAGGTTGTGGTCTATAAGGGGGACAGACATGAAGAAGATTAACTGTAATAGGGTGGGATTGTAGGATAATGGTGTTAGTTGAGGGATGTTAAAAGTGCCACAGAAGCACAGAAAAGGATGGAAAGATAAGGAAATTGAATCTGCTTTATGGAGGCATCTCCTTCTATCATCATTCGTTTTATCAGTCAACACTAGGTACCAACAGAGCTCTATGCCCCGTGCTAAGGCCCAACAATATCATTCCAGGAGAGAGATAGCTAATAAGCAATCACAACTCAGTGCAGTGGGTGCAATGGCTAAAGTGTACCCAGGGAGCCATGGAATGGGCAGGAAGGGCACCTCAGCCCAGAAGCAAGCAGTCAGGGAGTGCTTCCAGAGGAAACTGAGCCTCAGGGAAGAGAAGGGCTTGCAACAGATGGCATTGCCATTCAGAGAACCTCAAGTATACAGTGTGGCAAGAGCATGGGTTTTAAGGAGCAGCTATGGGGGAGACGAGGCTGGAGAAATAGGCAGGAGACAGGTCTTCAGTAGCTGGCAGTGTTTCCTGTGGCATTTAGAAGGCAATAAGAAGCATTGGCAAATGGAATGGGCTTCCCTGGTAGCTCAGCTGGTAAAGAATCTACCTGCAATGCAGGAGACCCGGTTCAATTCCTGGGTCAGGAAGATCCCCTGGAGAAGGGATAGACTATCCACTCAAGTATTCTGGGGCATCCCTGGTGGTTCAGATGGTAAAGAACCTGGGTTCGATCCTTGGGTTGGGAAGATCTCCTGGAGAAGGGAATGGCTACCCATTCTAGTGTTCTTGCCTGGAGAATCCCCATCGACAGAGGAGCCTGGCAGGCTACAGTCCATGGCCTCGCAGATAGTTGCACATGACTGAGTGACTAAACGTGTGTTTACACGTGTGTATAAAATGAGGAGATGGCAATCGATTTCTGTTTTAGAAAGTTCGCTTCAGTAGTAGGGCAAAGGACAGAGTAGAGAGAAGTGATACTGGAAGCAGAGAAGCCAGTCTGAAAGCCCAGGTGATTCAGGAACCCATGACATCAGTAAATGATGAAGACTGACACTATGAGGAGATGGCAATCAATTTCTGTTTTAGAAAGTTCGCTTCAGTAGTAGGGCAAAGGACAGAGTAGAGAGAAGTGATACTGGAAGCAGAGAAGCCAGTCTGAAAGCCCAGGTGATTCAGGAACCCATGACATCAGTAAATGATGAAGACTGACACTAGGGAGCAGTGGTGGGACTAGAGTTCAGGGGATAAGGAGAAGGACTGGGGATGCATTAGGAAGATAAAACAAAAACCTTGGTTCCCAACGGTTCAGGAAGGGTAATAGAGAGTTGTTTCTACAATGACATATAGTTTTCTGATGTTGGACTAATCATACTTAATCAGGGGCCATTCCCTCTTAAATGGTCTGCCTCCCCTAAGGAGAGCTCAAAACAACCCACTGGGATGCCAGGAAAAGTGGCAGAATTTCATTTACACTTTTCTCAGTTTTTAAATTTCTATATATATATGTGTATACAAAGTCAACAGTAAACTAGTGCAATGGTATGTATATACAATTTTTAAAAAAATATTTGTTTGGCTGTGGTAGGTCTTAGTTGCAGCATGTGGGATCTAGTTCCCTGACCAGGGTTCAAACCTGGGCCGCCTACATGGGAAGCACAGAGTCTTAGCCACTGGACCACCAGGGAAGTGCCTATAATTTATAAATAAATGAGTTTTCATATATTGTAGGGTATGCACAGTATTTTCTTATCAGAGATGTATGATCAAAAAGCTTGGAGCCTGAGTGCAGGATTATAGTAGAGAAAAAGAATGGCAGTTATGGGAAATTTAAAGTGCCTCCAGAACATCTAGGCAGTAATTCCTACAGGACTGTCCTATGAAACTTTCTGTGATCATAGAAAAGTTCTAAATATGTGTTGTTCAATATGGTGGCCAGTGACTACTCATGGCCATTAAGCACTTGAAATGTGGTTCATGCCACGAAGGAGCTGAAATTTTTAATTTTGATAAATTTAAATTTATTTAAATAGCCTCATGTAGCTAATAGCTACCATATTGGAAAGGACAAGTCTAAAACTTAGAGGAGAGACCTGGAATCTCATTCATTAAATGCTTCCACTGGCTAAGCATTTTATACCCATTTTAAAACACTGTAATTATTCCAGCTCCCTTATGGAGTAGACAGTATTACAAAAGAGTTAAGTTTTTCTTTTCTCTGTCCTCTTAATAGTGAAGGTTTATATTGCAAGGAAGAGCACATTTTCTCTGAAATATGTGTAGTTATAGATATTCTTCAGTGTTCGTCACTCAGTCGTGTCTGACTCATTGTGAACCCATGGAGCCCATCAGGCTCCTCTGTCCATGGGATTCTCCAGGCAAGGATACTGAAGTGGGTTGCCATGCCCTTCTCCAGGGAATCTTCCCAACCAAGGGATCAAATATGGGTTTTCTGCATTGCAGGCAGATTCTTTACCATTTGAGCCATCAGGGAAGCCCATATTCTTTACTAGAAGATATGTATCCATCTTCCAATACCAAGCACCAATTTTATTTTCTTTTTCTTTCAGGTGGCTGGCTCTGTTGGAGATTCAAATATGTATTATTTTAATATTTTATTATTATGACTGTAGTCTTCTGGACCCATTGCCAAAACAGGTAAATCTTTTCAGAATTTTGAATAGCATGACTTTCAAATTTAAAATAAAGTCTAACTCCTTCATTTTAATTACTGGGTATGAGCTGGCTGATCTCCTCACTTAGGCTCATCTTAGTTCATCTCTGCAGACTGAGAAACATTCCCTTAATTCTAAGTCAATTTTGTGTTTCCCATTATAGGACCTAATAGTAGTGTTTTCACCACTTAGTGTTAGGAGCTCCTCAATGAATTATCACTTTTAACCCTCTTCTCTGGGTAAAATAAACATGGCCTTGATGTCAGGCTTGTTTCCCTAGAAAGGCATGTCTGTGTCCAAAAGAGAGCCATGAGCCACGAGTCATAGCCCTTAGTCCACTTGGAAGCAATGACATAGAAGGAAATTAACCCAACAGTAGAAACAGTGAACCTCAATGTGAAGACCATCACCTTTCCCCACCTCTGACCATTGGCTCTCTCAATCATTTAACTCCTCTGTGTTTCTGTAGTTCTGTTCTCTTAGACCAATGGCCCTCAAACTGGAGTGAGCATCAGGATTAGCTGAGATGGAGGG